GTTTACATCTGTTCATGGGATGTGAGCAGTGCTGGTTATGCCCACATTAACCATCTATCCCTAATTACCCAGAGGGCAACTAAGAGTGAACCACAATGAAGTGAGTCTGAAGTCACAAATAAGCCCAGACCAGATAAGGATGACAGATTTCCTTTCTTGAAGGACATTAGTGAAAGAGATGGGTTTTCACTACAATCAACAAAGGTTACATCAATCTAGCTTTCTTCCAGATTTAAAGAAAAAAATAATTCAAAGATGGGAAGCTAGGCAAAATTGCATTGGAATAATCGAGTGTGAAGTTAACAAAGACATAAATGAGGATTACAACACCAGATAGGCAGAGGCAAAGTGAGGTTGAGCAGTGTTACAGAAATGGAAGTAGACAGTTTTGATGATGAAGAGGATATAAGGTTAGAAGCTCAGTTCAGGGTCAAATAGAATCAACATAACGGTTTCTGACAAATTATTCTTCATAATAGGCATGGACAGAAGTGAACAAATTAGGAATTTACTGGAAAAAGGCAAGTTATGATTTATTCCTGCAAAGGATAGCAGAGCTGTGCAATAGACTAATTGCTAAATTACTGAAGTGCATATAAACAGAGTCTTCATATGTTATTTGAGAGAGAGAGAAAAAAAGGTAGAGAGAAAGTCAGTTGGTGAGAGAATTCTTACAGTGTGGGGGCAGGCTATTTGGCCAATTGAGCCCACACCAACCCTCTGAACAGTGTTCCATGCAGACCCATGCTTTCCCTGTATTTCCCATGGTAATCCACCTAGCCTGTGCATCCCTGGACACAATAGGGCAATTTATTATGGCCAATCCATCTAACCTGCACATCTTTGGACTGTATGATGAAACCAGAGCACCCAGAGGAAACCCACACAGATATGGGGAGAATGTGCAAATTCCACACAGACAGTCAAGCAGAGGCTGGAATTGAACCCAGGTCTCTACTGCTGTGAGGCAGCAGTGTTAACCATTGAGCCACCATGCCACCCCCTTTTGTAGTATTTCAATGGTCCCTGTGCATAGGGTTTGTTGAGATTATCCTTTTAGCTTGTCAGGACCTACTGTTCCTTGATCTTCTTTTTGCAGAAACTTTCACTTGCTTGTAGGAGGCACAGAGTGATTGGTTTATATTCATAAAGTCTCTGATTTATTGATTAAGAACCACAGCTTACAACAAGTGCTGGGGATGGGTATGTGTAAACCGGTTTTCTTCAGGCTTAAGGCGTTTTTTGCACTGCAGAGCTAAGGTCAGCTCCTTCCTTTTCAGTGGTCTAATGGCTTTTGACCAAATATTCCATCCACAAACTATTCAGCTGCCTGGGAGCCAATCATAAAGTTGTTTTCAGGCAGAATGCCTTTGAGTTATTGACAATGGATCATTATTTCTCAGACCAATCAGCCATTTGTTGCCAGCCAAATCTCTCTTTGTTCACATCCCACCCTAGCAACAGCTTATCTGTAGAAATCTGCCCCACTGCTTTAACAAGCAGCTGTGTAAACAACATTTACACTGAATGTCAGAACCTGCCTTTAAAATGTACAGTAATCCTTGCCCCAATCCTTGTACTTAAATCAGTCCCTTTCCCATTTCAACCCAAATAAAACATAGAGAACTAGAAAGATAGGCTATTTACATTTTAAAAGTTATCCAAATTCCAACAATGAAGAGAGATAGAGACCTAAAATCATTATCTATTGTTCTGTGCCAATCATGTGATTTTATTTGCTCACGCAATAAACATTGACCAGTCAGAATCCTAAAATCAACATCACACCAGAGGACATGATGGCCTAGTGGTATTGTTGCTTGGCAGTTAATCCAGAGACCAAGGTAATGTTCTGGGGACTTGGGTTTGATTCCCCTCACAGTAGACGGTGGAATGTAAATCCAATAAAAATAATCTGGAATTAAGAGTCTAATGATGACCATATATCAATCATCAGGAAAAACCCATCTAGTTCAAAATGTCCTTTAGGGAAGGAAACTGCCATCCTTACCTGGTTTGGTCCATATGTGACTCCAGACCCATAGCAATGTGGTTGACTCTTAATTGCCCTCTGGGTAATAAGGGATGGGCAATAAATGCTGGCCTCGCCAGTGATGCTCTCATCCCATGAGTGAATTCCAAAAAAAAAAGATGATGTGAGATGGCCAGTTCTAGCATTTTGTGTCAATTCTGCATTTTTACAATGATATCATACCTGAGAGTATGCCATTAGACAAGTGGACAAAGCTGGCATTTATCTATGGAAACTTACAGATGTGACAAACGCAGGATAATTGATAAAAATGGAGCTAAACTTTTGGGATTCTCTGTTGTTTGACAATACCCACACTTGTGCTGTTGATCAATGGGAACTCCAATCATTTGCTTGAAATATAAACATGCATCTTGGGGGATGGGGAGTAGACATTATCTGCACAAGATGTGTTCCTGAGGTTGAACGTATCACCCACAAGTTTGATGACAGACTTCCAAAGAAACATTGATCCATTAAAAAAAAACCCACATATGTTTGAAAGAGTACTAAGGAGGAAATTATTTGGCATATGACACTTATTTGAGCTCAGCTGGAGTATGGTGCACACTTGAAGTCGCCGCATTATAAAAAAGATGTGAACTCATTGGAGCAAGTGAAAAAGTGATTTGCACAAATGGTTTGCAAAACGAGAAACTTCAGTGATGAGGATAGACTGAAGATATTGGGATTGTTCTCCTCAGAGAGAAAAAGGCTGAGAGCAGATTTGATAGAGGTTTCCAAAATCATGATCAGGCTGGATTGAAAAGGTTGGGAGAAGTTGTCCCCACTTGTAGAAAGAACAAGAACAAGAAGGCAGATTAAAATGATGTACAAACGAAGCAAGGGTGATGTGAAAAAAGAACAATTATCACACAGAGATAGTAGGAACTGCAGGTGCTGGAGAATTATCACACAGAGGTTTAGTTAGGATCTGGCATGCCGTGCCTGGCAATGCTGAAGCAGGTTCAATCCAGTCACTCAAAAGGGCATTGTTTGATTATTTTGCTAAAAATATTATGCAAGGGTAATGTGAAGAGGGCAGGAAATTGGCACTGGGTGGTGATGCTCATTTGAAGAGCAGGTGCAGCCTCTCTGGACCAAATAGTCTGCTTCTACGCAGCAACAGTTCCGTGATTCCAGTGTTAGCTTGACCTTTGATTTTTGATTGTGTAAGGTGAGCTGAATATGTCTGGTTGCCATATGCACTGCCACAGTAAATGCATCAACAATTTTCAAAAATCTTTTCAATAACTCTAATCAATGTATAGGACATTTTCACAAATATATAGTGATCAGACAGTCCTTTATCCCAGCATCTTTCTCCATATCAATTTGACATGTTATGACCATCATGTCACAAGTATTTTCTTAACAGTTAAATGATACCTTTAGTGTCATGTGCCAACAATATCAAATCAGGTATGGTAAAAATGTGGAGTGGAGCATTCTTGCCTTATCACTTCAGAGAACTTTGTTGACAGTCTTAGAAGAGAATGGAAAGAGAGAGCAAGCAGAGAGTCATAGCATCATTAAGACACAGAACATAGAACATAGAACATAGAACATTACAGCGCAGTACAGGCCCTTCGGCCCTCGATGTTGCTCCGACCTGTGAAACCAATCTGAAGCCCATCTAACCTAAACAGTACCATTATCATCCATATGTTTATCCATATGTTTATCTCAGAAAGATGAGATTCAGTCCTTGAGATCATTCCAGCTTTTTGTACAGTGATGTATCAGTCTCATTCTTCCTCTCTATCCCTAAGAGTTTTTTTCTGTCAAGTTCCCAATGTCCTTTTGAAATCATTCACTGTTTCTCTACAGGCCTCCCACACAGTTAACAAAGTCCAGGTTATTGCCACTTGCCTAAAAGTTATTTTCCTCACATTCGTCTCTGCATCTCTTGCCTATAAAAATATAAGTTTGTGTTCCCATGCCTTGTACCGTCGGCTAATCCTTTGTGTCTTCATCTAAACCTGTTGTAATTGTGTCCAATACTATCAAATCTCCTCTTCAAGGACAACAAATCCAGTTTCTCTGACCTGACTTCAAAACTAAAATCCCTCCATAGCACTTCATATATGAGGACTGTTTTGTTCCAAAGATTCCCTTGTACTGGGGCTGTGGACAACATTGGCAATGTTTACAGTTTAACTTTCATTGCCCTAAGTATGATAAGAATCAGTTGTGCATTTTGGGACAAGAGGCAACACATGTCAATTGATAAAAATCACCATTGTTTCAGCGGACTGCTTCATATTAGAGACTGAAGGTGCTGGTTTAACCTGAGGGTCACCTCACCTCAGGCAAGGAGAAAGGTTGAGAAGGTGGGTCCTTCATGGTACCCCAGCTGGTGCAGGAATTAAACCCCATGCTGCTGGCATCATTTTGCAGCACAAACCAGACAACTGGGGGAGGTGATGGCTGAGTGGTATGACCGCTGGACTATTAATCCAGAGACCCAGATAACGTTCTGGGGACCGAGGTTCAAATCCTGCCATGGCTGATGGTGGAATTTGAATTCAATAAATATCTGGAATTAAGAATCAAATGATGACCGTGAATCCATTGTTGATTGTTGGGGAAAAACCCATCTGGTTCACTAATATCCTTTAGGGAAGGAAACTGCCATCCTTACCTGACCTGGCCTACATGTGACTCCAGACCCACAGCTTTCCTGCTCCTCTGATGCTGCTTGGCCTGCTGTGTTCATCGAGCTCTACACCTCGTTATCCACAGCAATGCAGTTGACTCTTAACTGCCCTCTGGGCAATTAGGGACGGGCAATAAATGCTGCCTTGCCAGCAATGCCCTCATCCCGTGAATGAATAAAAAAACCAAGCTGACTAACATGGATGTAATGGGATAATGGCCTTTTTCTGTACAGTAAATGAAAACAGTATTAATTTATTAGACTTCTCAATGTACAATCCATTTAGTAATATCTTATTTTCTCCTCTAGTAATTGGCGAGCCTGTCAGTATAGAATGGTACAGGCCTGATGGACAAAAAATCATCTCCAGTGAAAGGGTTGTGGTACAGACAGAGGGGATAAGATCAAGGCTCACTATCTACAATGCCAATGAGGAGGATGCTGGGATCTACCAGTGTCAGGTGACAGATGTCAATGGAAAGTCTCAGGAAGCTACAATCCTGGTGGAAATTTACAGTAAGTAAACCCAGGAGCTGTAAAACGTAATTGCATCATTAATCGCATGCTGTCTTGTGCTTGTTCCAGCAGTTCATGGAGACAAAGGAAGCAATGTAAGTACAGTGATTGCCAGTGAGGCATTGATAATGTAAATACAGGCAGGCTTGTTCTTGATATGATACTGCAACAGATCAGCCAAGTTTTGCAGGAACACACAGCACCTAATATTCCAAGAGACATTTTGACTCCAATTAGGAGTCAAACCCAAAACCTGAGCCTGAGAACCACTTATCCCAATTGCAACATGAGATGGATTATTTTGATGATAGTATGGCGATTATATTTCTGATGGTATCGATATAGAAGAAGACAGCTAAAGTGTTATTTGCCCTGTGCTATCACAGTAGTTATGTGTGAAGGCCTAATGCAGCAAAGTATCCCATTCAGTGCTTGCACAAATGCAGTTTCACTAAAAACACTTTTATATCACTTGCACAGTGAAAAATGGCTTCACTCTGCATCACCCTGAAGTTAGCTTCAAGTTGCTTGTCGGTTTTTGTACAGGTGTTTCAGGTATCGAGTTAAAATTGAGCTCCATTGTTCTGAGCTTTTAGAGAAAGTTTGGTCACTTGTCCTGAATGTCAGGGACCTTAAGAAGATGACAGGCAAAAAACTGTAAAATTAAATCGATACAGTGATAAACAGAGATACACCGACATGATATAGATAGACAGATAGATAAATACATAGATTTCTTTATATTTATCCATCTATCGATCTAACATAGGGGATAGAGGGCTGGATTTTATTTTTAATCGTGAAGTGAGGGAGGCACAACACAAACTGAGGGGCCTGCTGTCCTGCTCTCAGATATCTAAGCACATACATTAACTATTGGATGTCCAATTACTGACTGCCCAATGGGAACAAGGTAATTACTGGTGCAAAATGGGGAGTGGTGAGTGTCTGGTCTTCATTTCCAATCGAGACTGTTGACCAAGACATTTAAGTTGCTGGGGGCAGTGGAAAAGGGTGTGGTGAGGCAGGGTTTAGAGGGGATTAGGAAGTGATACAACGAACAGTAAGTCAGTCTCAGGTACAAGTTTAAAGGCTAAAAAAATTAGACTAAAAACCAACATATAGAGGCATCTACCCTCCTCAGCAGGTTTGGCTATTACATACAGCAGTGGTCACAGTGGTGCTGTTTTTTCTACCCATGTTTGAGCTGCATTGTCATAGCAGCCTTCACAAACTTTCTCTCATCTGACGCCTGAAAAGTGCAGTGGGCGGTGAGGACAATGGAAAACAATTGGGGTGTTACGTACTCGCCCACCTTCCACAATCTCGCAGACCAATGTGCACGATGTTGTATGGCCAACTCTTTCCCATTATCCAGTAGTGTATGTGGAAGAGCAGCCCAGCTGATTTGTGGGAGTGAATATCTAGTCCCAGAGTGTTGGATTGACAGGCTGGTGGTTAGATAGACAATAGCTAAGTGCACGTTGAAATGTACAATAGCTCAGATCATTTTAAGCTGACGTTTTACTTCATATTAAAGCTAAGAGGTATATAGAGGAGGAGTGGGACCAGCCTGTCATATTTCACCCTGGTGAGTCATAACCACAGCAGAAGGCGATGACAGCCAGGAATTCACAAGGAAGGGTTAAAGTGACTTTATTTAGTGTTGCACTGGTTCTGTGAACAGGAGGATTATTTATGTGAAATAATCACTTTTATTGTCTGACTGATAATGGGAGATCCAGAATTAACCACACTTCCATGATTTCAAAGATAACTTGCGAATTATATAAGGCTTTTCATCATTCTAAACACTTTAATCTGCTACTACAAGCTAACATTTGTTGCAGTTTCTATGGACTGGCAAATCAGCCCCTCATAAGGATACAGATTGGCATTCTATTGCAGAATTAAAAGGGAAAGATATGGATTTGGTTAAAGTTCATCACCGAAAAGTATATGACATGAAAAGTAGCTTCCTGGTAAGTAGTAGCAATGAGAGACAGGGATAGAGAAGTCAATGCTGAAGGAACTGCTACTAGTGAGTGAAAGGTTAAGTGGAAAGGGGACTATATAGCTAGGGAATCATGGAATTGTAAAATGATGGATCAATTAATGTGACCATTCAGTCCGTTGTGTCTGTGCTAGCTCTTAGGCAGGGCTATCCAATTGATTCTAGTCGTTTGCTTTTTTTCCTAATGTTCTTTCTTCTCTAAGCATCGACCCAATTCCCCCTTTGAATGTTAATATTGGCTGAAATGTCCAATCACTAATAATCATTGAAATGCAGTGAAAGTGAATGGATAGGACGTAGTACTCTGAAGCAGTAAATAATTCCAATTCCAGAGAAGAGTGTCAGGCCTGAGTTCCACATTCTGTGGATGGTAAAGGTGTTACCCCAATGTAGAATGCTCGTTGTTTAGCGAGCTGACCTTATTCGGTGAAGCAGATGAGGCATCACAGTGAGCCTCAGCATCCTTCCCACTCCTGGTCAGCAGATCTCTAAAGGTATCAGGTCAGGTAGATATAATGGTCAAGAAAGCATAAGGGACAGTTGTGTTTGTTAGCCTAAGCATAGAATTTAAAAGCAGGGAGCTGATGCTGGAATTGTATAAAACATTAGTTAGGTCATAGCTAGAGCATTGTGTAATGCTCTGGAATCCACATGACAGGAGGGATGGTGATAGCACTGGAGAGGGTGTGGAGGAGATTCACCAGGATGTTGCCTGGGCTGGAGAGTTTTAAAAAGGAAGAGGGATTGGTTAGGCTAGGGTCGTTTTCATCAGAGCAGAGAATACTGAAGGAGGACATGATTGAGATGCATCAAAAAATGCGAGCATAGACAAGGGGGACAGGAAGAAACATTTCCCCTTAGTCGAGGGATCAATAACTGGGGACGTAAATTTAAGGTAAGGGGCAGGACATTTGGAGGAGATGTGAGGAATTTTGTTTTTCACCATGATGGTGATGGGAATCTGGAACTTACTGCCTGTAAGGGTGGTAAAGGCAGAAACTCTCATAACATTTAAAAAATATTTGGATGTATATTTGACATGCCAAGGTATAAAGGCTATGGGCCAAGTGCTAGAAAATGGTATTAGACTGGTTAGATGTTTGCTTAACTAGCTCAGACTCCATGAGTCAAACGGCCTTTTTCTCTGTGCTGTAGACTGTTTAATTCTATTCGCTGACCTCTGCTGGAAGCCTTTATGTTTAGTATGGGCACTAAAACCATACAAGGCGTGAGTTGGACCACAGCTGGAATATTGTGAACAGTTCCCAGCCCTTATCTAAGGAGAAAGTTCACTAGGCTGACACCAGATATGGAGGGACTGTCTTATAAGGAAAGATTGAATAGATTGGCTCTATACTCATTAGAATTGAGAGGTGACCTCATTGAAACCTAGAAGATTTTTAGGGACTTGACAGGGTAGATGTGGAGAGGTTGTTTCTCCTTGTGGGAGAGTTGAGGACCAGAGGGCATCATCTCAGAATAAGAGGTCGAGCATTAAAATAGTGATGAAGAAGAATTTCTTCTCCGAGGGTAGTGAATCCATGAAATTCTTTACCACAGAAGACCGTTGAGGCTGGGTCATTGAATATATTCAAGGCTGAGATGGACAGATTTTTAATCAGTAAGGGAATCAAGGGTTACAGGGAAAGGGCAGGAAAGTGGAGCAGAGGGGTATCAGATCACCATATCTCATTGAATGGAGGAGCAAACCTGATGGGCTGAATGGCCAACTTTTGCTCTTACTACTTATGGTCTTATCTCTGTGCCTGATCATAGTTATAATGTTTTGTCTATGAGAAAATAATGGGTCATTGTCTACCTGTGGTTTAATACATTCTGAGGGAGTAAGGTATAGGTGAGACTAACTCTGAGAGTTAAATATCCTGTAGATATGGTGGGGTTAGAGTTTCAACTATGACTGCATCTCGCAATCTGGGCAAATTTCATCCCAAATTTCCACTTGATTTGATAATATCTTTAACATATCATTGTATTGCAACATTTGCTATGTACCAGCTTTAAAATATAACTCATTTTCATGAAAATGTAGTTTTAAATTATATTCCTCATGTGGTAACATGGGACGGATTTGATTAGTACAATTACAACATGGATTCAGTACTAAAAGGCATACAGTTTTAATCAGAGTACCAACTGACCACTTGTGAGTTACCCAGATTAAAATGCCAGAAAATGATTTCTAAGAAGTATACACAACCGTTTTGCCAGTTATATTAGGCTAGACTATCCATCTTCTCACTAGCTTGAAAAAGAACTTCTAAAGTTTTTAAAACCTGTTTCGTCCTTGTGTGCATGAGATCCAGCTTAATTCGTTAGCACCTGCTCACAAGCCCGAAACATTGGCTGAAGATTTTCATGGTGATTGATTCATCCAAGGTACATGTGCAAATTTGCAGGAAGAACTGGTTCCTGGTGCAATAATTTTTAAGCCAATTAAGAAATTAGATTAGTTTAGAATAAAGTTTATGTTTAAAATTCCACTACCTTGTGCATTGCTTTCAGACAATTTGTGGTAATAAAGGCAGTGTTCTTTGTTACATAAAGGTGATATAGATACAAGTGTTGTTGCTATTGTTGCTAATATAATATTGCAACTTGAAACCTTAAGTTTGCTTTTCAAAGTGTTCTGATTTCATTGCACATTGATTAACATGAGTCTTGTATTTCTTCCTCTCATTACAAGGATGCTGCTGGGGCTGAAGGGTTTGAGCTAAAGGGAGAGGCTGAATAGGTTGGGGCTATTTTGTCTGGACCGTCAGAGGCTGAGGGGTGACCTCATAGAGGTTTATCAAATCATGAGCGGCATGGATAGGGTAAATAGACAAGGTCTTTTCCCCAGGGTGGGGGAGTCCAAAAGTAGAGGGGAAAGATTTAAAAGGGGCCTGAGGGGTAACAAGCCGAGAAAAAGCTGTCAGAAGAAATGGAGGAGGCAGGTACAATTACAATATTTAAAAGGCAACTGGATGGGTATTTGAATAGGAAGGATTGAGAGGGATATGGGCCAAATGGTGATAAATGGGACTAGATCAGTTTGCAAAATCTGTTTGGCATGGACATGTTGGACAGAAGGGTCTGTTTCTGTGTTGTATAACTCTATGACTCTATGCTATTGCAAAGAGATGCAAGAAGTGGGCATTTTCAGGCAAACAGGTGATTTTGGAATATCAGTGTGATTCTTTTTGCTTTCTTCCTGCTACACTCTGTCCACAGAAAAGCTGACCTTTCATGAAATCAAGTCTCCCCAGGAGTTCAGAGAAGGAGAGGATGCTGTGGTGATATGTGAAGTAAACAGCTCTCCCGCACCCATAGTAACCTGGCTGCACAATAATAGAGATATCAGCACTGAGCCAAGTGGTGAGTACCTAGCTGTCGAACCCTCTAATTGCCAATTTGTTTGTGAACCTTCAAACTCTTGATGTAGTAGATGGCACGAAAAGAAGCATTGCACCCTCCCCCATGCCTGCTCAATGCCAATGCAAGACCTTCCACCTGTCTACCATGGCCCTCCATCCCAAACCCTGTTACTCAAAACTCATGACCACTCTAAGCCAACCCCATGCCAACTCAGATGCCTCCCAACTACCTGCCCATGCCCGCATGTATCTATGCTACTTCCACAGCCGTTCATCTAGTATTCCTCATAGACAGATCACAGGAGCCATGTGGAGATTTTTTTTTTTAAATGAAAACAATTGAATACAATTCCCACTCTGATACACTTGATAGTGAAAAAAAAACCCATTATTGTTAAATCTCTCCTAATGGCTCATTTCTTATGAAAGCAAACACATGTCTAATCAGATCAAAAGCCAAAGAAAGCTAATCCTTCAATAAAATCTTGAGACAGCCAATCTACTGTGAACTTAGATCATCTTACTCAGTTAATTCTAGCATTTGAAACTCAGCCAAACATTGACAATGGTATAATGGCAACCCTCAGCAAAATGCCCAAAACAAGTCTCCACGGAAATTGTACAACCACATGTCTGTCAACCAAAGCAGACCAGGAAAGGGTTTCTTTTTAACTCTCACTAACAATGACACACTTTTAGTTTTATGCCTAACGAGCAGAGGATTTAAAGAAAAACTGCAAATCATTGCATTTGCACAGGCCTTATTCACTCTTCAAGCTTGTTTACATCAACTCAATCAATTTGTGAGCATATGTTGGGGATTAAGGCCCTCGTGAAGGTTAAACTGGGGTCTGTTGGAACTAAGCACTGGATTCAAATAGGCCTACTGAGTTCAGGCTTTCTGCCCGTATGTTTCATGCCCCACCATCTTGTCCCCATTAATGAAAATTTGATCTGTTGAAAATGAGAGCGGAACCTCTGCCTCCAGATTCCACCCACCATTTTTAATGGGCCAAAAATCTGGTCCTAGGCCTCTATTTAAAAGGCCCTGCATCCTTTAATGCTCGATTAGGCACAAAATTTAAACCATCTGATTGGTTTACCTCCAGCGTTCATGTGCCTCTGTGTAAAGAACCTACCTATCATGCTAACAGCTAGAGCTACCAAACATTTAGTCCCTTCAACCAAGTCTTTGATATATATTGTAACTGATTGAGGCCCCACTACTGATTCCTGTGGTATTGCATTAGGTACATTGTAGCAACTTGAAAAAGAGCCTTTTGTTCCCACTCTGTCACCATTTAGAAAAATAGAATCATTAGAAACCCTACAGCGTGGAACCAGGCCATTCGGCCCATTGAGCCTACATCACCCCTCCGATGAGCAGACCCCACCCCCCCAACCTCTCCCTGTAACCCTGCATTTTCCATTGCTAACCCACATAGCCATCACATCCCTAGACACTATGAGTAATACAGCATGGCAAATCCACCTAACCTGCACATCTTTGGACCGTGGGAGGAAACCGGAGCACCCAGAGGAAACCCATGAAGATGTAGGGTAAATGTGCAAACTCCACACAGACAGGGTAAATGTGCAAACTCCACACAGACAGGCACCCAAGGCCTGAAGCAAACCCATGTCCCTGGTGCTATGAGGCAGTAATGCTAACCATTGAGGCCCCATGCTGCCCCCATGTCAAAGGCATATCTGGGTTTTGAACGTGGGACCTCTTGCACTGTCTACATTTACCCAAAGTGAGAATTATACCTCTAGACATTTTAGTTAACCAATCCTTTATATACCCAAGTAGCCTTTACATACCATGGACACCATGCACACTTTTCCTGTAACCTTCGATGTCGCGCCTTGTCAACTGCCTTTTGCAAAATTGAGTGCACCACATTTATAGGCTCCCCTTTATCTATTTTGCTTGTTACTTCCTGGGAGAAAAAAACCCTCTGTTAAGTTAAATGAGTTAAATATGATTTCACTTTCACAAAGCTATGCTGACTCTGCCTGACCACATTATAATTTTACAAGTATCCTGCTGTAACCTCTTTATTAAGGAATTCTCGCATTTCCCTAGGACAGATGTTAGTCTAGGCTATCCATAATTAGCTGCTTGCCTTCTTCTTCTTTGAATAAAACTGTGCACATTTAGTATTTTCTGATTCAATATGTGTTTCAGAATCTAAGGAATCTTGCAGGTTTCCAACCAATGTAGCAACTAGCTCTGTGGGTACTCCTTTTAATGCGTTTGGATGCAAGCTAGCCAGTTCTGAGGATTCATCAGTCTTTACATGTAATAGTTATCTCAACATCTTTTCCCTGATGATGGTAATTGTTTTATTTTCCTCCCTTCCTTTCGCCCTTAATTTTCAAGGATCTCAGAGATATTTTCTGAATCTTCAGCTTGATATCCTTGGTCATCTAATACTCTACTAATCACATCCTTAATTGATACAGCTACCCACCACCCCACCCTTTTTGAGTTTCCCATCTTTCAAAATACTCTTCAATATTTAGGGCCCAGCTTTTGTAATCATGCAACCATATCCCTGCCATGGCTATCAAGTCATACATATTTATTTCTATCTGTATTAACAGCTTATTCTTCTTCTGATGAATGCACACATTCAGACACAGGCTCCTTAACTGTTTTTGTTTTGCTATTTTTGCAACAATGACCTTCTGATGGTGCACCCTTCAGTTTGTGCATTCTGTTCGCTCTTGCTACAGTCTAGTCATCATTATCCAAATTACTACAACGCTCCATGACCCCATTGTTCCTCTTTGATTTACCAAATCTCCTCTCAGATGATCACTACCTCTCATTATTTAGTTTAAAGCCTTTCTAGCACTCTAGTTATATTTCTCAGTGGAATATATTGCAGATGAAGCCTGTCCCAATGGTACCTGTGCCTTTTCGTGAATCAAAACCCATTTCTCCCACAAAAAACAAAAGAACTGTGGATCCTGTAAATGAGGGACAAAAAAACAGAAGTTGCTGTAAAAGCTCAGCAGGACCTGGCAGCATCTGTGAAGAAAATATCAGAGTTAACGTTTCGGGTCTGGTTCGGAGGAAGGGTCACCGACCCGAAACATTAACTCTAACATTTTCTTCACGGATGCTGCCAGATCCTGCTGAGCTTTTCCAGCTCAACTTCTGTTTTTGTTCTCATTTCTCCCGTATTGGTCTTTGAGCCACACATTCACCTTCTAATCTTCTTAATCCTATGCCAGTTGGCTTGCCATTCAGGTAATAATTTGCCTGTGGGATTCTTCTTGCTAATTTAACCTTTATATGTTTATAATGCATTACTAAAAGCTCTTTCCTCATTCTATCTCTACTCTTGGTATCCATCTGGACCAGTAGAACTGGACCCTTCCACTCCCATTACAGGTCACTCCCTCTCCAGCCCAAAGTAGATATCCTGAATTATTCCATCAGGAAGCCAGCACAGCATTCTAGTATCAGACTCTCAGCTACAGAGAACATTGACTATGCCCCTGACTAAATTAGTTAAACTACTACATTGTTATTTACTTCCTTTCTTGATTTGCTTTTTTATCACAATAACATAGTCAGTTTGTTCATCCACTCCACAGCCCTCACTCTCATCCATACAATCCACAAGAATCTCAAACCTGTTGGACAATGGAAAGGACTGACTCTCCTCTACCTCCACCTTCCTGATCTTCTTTACGTACCTAACTTGCAGTCACACCCTCCTGTCCCTAACGAACAATGAAAATCAGACAACCTTAGCCAAATGCACGTGACTGCACTCTGAAGCAAATTCTCCAAGTGATTTTCTCACTCCTTGATGCCTCAGTGTCTGTATCCCGACCTTTAGCTTATCATCTCTAAGCCAACATTTATCAAGCTGCGGATACTGACTGCAGGGAATGTTGCTATGGATCGCATTGTCATTTAGCAGCTCACACAAACTACATCTTGAACCTGTATGGCCATCTTCACTGTCTTTAATTTTGACAAATTTGGAAATAAACCTCAATAACTTTTTGTAATCTCATCAGTTGGTTTAACTAGCTAAGCTGTAAATGTAGTGCAATACTATACCAACCCACACTGCTCCAGTTGAAACTATACATCCTTAAATAGAGACAATAAACTCAAATCTCATCAACTACTCACCTATAAACTCACCTACTTAATGGTTCTAAGCTTCAGCTCTCACATCCTGCTGTTGGTCCCTGGCTGCCACTCATGGCCTATTCCATTTATGTCAATGTTCAGAATACCACATGATTTAACCATGTTCCCAAAGTCTAGAGGAGGAAAATAGTGTTGATGCTCGAATCTGTTCTGTCAATAAAATTTTCTGGAAATCACAACGTGTCAGGCAGCATCTGCAGAGCGAAAGCAAGCTAACATTTCGAAGCTAGATGAGTCTTCATCAGAGCTCCCAAACTCTAGATATTTATAATGCGTTAGTGCAAACTCTTTCCTTGTTCTATCTTTGTTGTTGGTGTCAATGTGGACCACTACAGCTGGATCCTTTGCTTCACAGTACAAATACCTCTCCAGCTCACAGTAGGTGCTACACTCTGCTACACTCACTTAAGTTGCTCTCTTCGTGTTTGAATACATCATGTGCTTAGCAAGACGACCTGCATAAATCCATGAAATTCTACAGTAATGAGTGAGCGCTGCTGTCTCAAGAAAACCAGTTCAAACTAAAAACTTAATTAATTAATTGTGGCTGCCTCTCCAGCAGAGAGCTTGTTTAACCTCAACTAAAGTTCAAAGAAATCTAACTTTAACAACAAATGCTAAAAGCAAACAAGTCTTTAATTCATTAAATCCCATAGGTGAGCAAGTTCATATTTAAGGGAGAGATTAACTCTTAAAGTTTCCTGACTCGCCAAATTCCCAATGTCACACCCTGTGCCAAGGCACTCAGTGATGAGCTGTTGTCTTCTTGTTTGTCTAAGGGTTCAAAGAGCAGAATGGCCTCAATTTGCTCCTATTTTTATGCACTTAACTCATTGCCTTTGATGTGGAATTTTATCCAAAACACTTGGACATGTGTTGTACTTAGTTATGGCTTCCTCAAAGATTTTCAAGTAGTGACTTATGTTTGCTCTCCAAGTACACAAACACTTTAAAATTAAAGTTTAAAATGCTCACTTTCCTTTTAAAATTCCCCCAGTGCCTCAGCCCTTCCTGTCTCCAGCCCTGCAACACTTCCAGAATGCTATCCAAGAGAATGTTCCTCCATATTGTTCCTTTTGTGCAACCCCCCCCCAATTTCAGTCCTCCACCATTGACAGGCCATGCCTTCACAAATTCTAAATTTGAGAAGTTAAATCCTTTTCTGTGAGATATATCTTAAAAAGACTATCTCTTTTATTAAGTCATTGGCCACTATCATTTTGATTCCTTCCTTTGCTTGTTACTAATTTGATGAGGCTTTACTGGGGCAGTTCACTGGATGAAAGTAAATCTAACTTGTTGTTGATTACTGGCAATTCTTTAATTTAACATTTGGATGGAGCTTAGACTAATAACTGGATTTATCTAGCTGAAGCATTGTCTGTAGCTTAATCAATAGGACTATCTTCTCTAATCAATGAAGCTGTGAGTTCAAGTTTCTTCTCAGAGACTGGAGCACTGACATTGAGGCTGGCTCTACAGAGGGTGTGCTGCACTGTTGGCAGTGTTGTCTTTCACTTGAGAATTTAAACTGTGGCTTTGGCAGGTGGACAGAAAAGAAACCATGACACAGTAGGAAGAGGGGAGGGCGAATTATGCACGGTAGGCGGGACAAAGTTTATTCATTAATCAGTGTCAATGATACAGATGATTTGCTGCTTGTGGGAGCTTGCTGTGTCCAAATTTGATGCTGTTTCCTATGTTACAATGGGAACCACACTTCAATCATATTTCACTGACTGAGAAGTGCTTTGGAACATGCTGAGACCATGAAAGGGGCTATGTAAATGAAACATTTTCCCTCCTTTTTAAGGATTTTTGGAAAAATTGTCAAACCTTCTCCCATACATTGTTCCGTACACATGTCTGAAACCTTTCGTGATTTGTCATTGCACACTTCTCTTCCCAGACAAGTTTATAATGATCGATAACAACAGCTTGAAGATCCGTCGCATTAGCAAGAAGAACGAAGGCATTTACCGGTGCGAGGGGAGAGTGGAGGCCCGGGGAGAAATTGATTTTCGAGACATCGCTGTTATTGTGAATGGTAAGATTGCTGGATTGTTCTGCGCACTTTCTTCGTGCTCCTGGGTTTTGAAAACTGTTCAGTTGTGAATGAAACATGTACAGATGAGTCAACCAGCTTGCTGAATTTTCAATAAGGTGTAATTTAGTGATGTTACCGAGATAATGTGTCTTTTGCATTTTGCTATTGTAGAAAGATAACTTGCCTTGTTCCCTGTATAATATCAAAGCCTCAATTAAGATTCTCCTCCCTGTTTCCAACTCCTCAGCCTGTTACTTCTTCCACTTTCTGTGATCTCCTCCAGCCCCTCAAACTTCTGCGACACCCATCCTTTCCAGTTCTGGTCTTTCATGCCTTCCCAGTCTTAGCTACTGACTGAATAAACACCCATTAAAGTAGGATCCAGTCCCCCGAGGGAAACATAGGGAGGGGCTGGATAAGGCTGAGGCTACTTTCCCTGGAATGTCAGACGATTGGAGTGGGGTGACCTGATAGAAGATTATTAAATCATGACGGCATTGATAAGGTGAATAGCCAATGTTTTTTTTTCCCCAGAGGAGGGAACTCCAAAACTAGAGGGCATAGGTTTAAAGTGAAAGGGGAAAGATTTAAAAGGGAACTAAGGGACAATATTTTCACACACAGGTTGGTCTGTGTGTGGAATAAGCTGCCGTAAGAAGTGGTGGAGGCTGGTACTATAACATCAGTTAAAAGGAATTCAGATGGGTACATGCATAGGAAGGATTGAGAGGGATATGGGGCAAATGCTGGCAAATGGGACGAGATCAGTTTAGGATATCTGGTCAATATGGACAAGTTGGACCGAAGGGTCCGTTTCTATGCTGTGAACTCTATGACAATGACTCGCTATGTGGATTGAAGCTACATTCCATATTACTGACGAGCTTGGTATTGGTAAAGCCTGTCAGAAATCCACAACTCAGGAGCGGCATGAGAAAGGGGGAGTAGAGCAGAAATTCTGTTGTGATTGCCGCTCTGTGGAAGACTTTTGAGAAAGGACATGCATTTCACAAACAATTGAGGAGCTGAAAACAATTTGTATCAATGCTAGTGCCAATGCACAAGAACATCTATGATTTTTTACATATATTCGGTACAGATTCTGAATACCTGTACTGTTTCCTAATGCTCAGTATTGCAAAGCAATGTTTGTTTGTTTCAGCAGAAACGTAGGTTCTGGGCATACAAGATAAGAGCAGAAGTAGACCACTCAGCTACTTGCTCCTGGTTCACCATTTAGTAAGATATTGGTTGATTAGGGAAAATACTGCAGATGCTGGAATTCTGAAATAAACAGAGAAAGAGCTGTAGAAACTCAACAGGTCTATAAGCATCTTTGGAGGCCAAAACAGAGTTAACGTTCTGACTCTGTACAACTCATCTTTCGAACTCTCCATTGAAGTTCTTTCTAGGTTTTGCTCATCAAAGGTACAAGAATAAGGAATTTTTCACTAAGTGACTAGTCAGGAATGTACTGCCTGGAAATGTGGTGGAGGCAGGTTTAATTGAGGCATTAAAGACAGCATTGGGTAATTATTTCAAAAAAATAAGTAATGTGTAAGGGAATGGAGAAAAAGCAGGAGATCGGCACGAGATAATGATGCTCATTTAGTAGTGTCAGGGTTAAGGATGTCTCTGAGCGGGCAAGAGATATTCTGAAACGGGAGGGTGTGCAGCCAGAAATTGTGGTCCATATTGGTAGTAACGACATACGCAGGGAGAGAGAGATAAGGTCCTGCAAAGGGAATTCATGAAGTTAGATAGGAAGCTGACAAGCAGGACTTCTCAGGTTGCAATCTCAGCATTACTCCCTGCGCCATGTGCTAGTGAGGTCAGAAGTTGTAAGATAATACAGTTGAATACTTGTCTAAAGGTAACTGGATTATTAGGATCTTCCAGGGCAGGTGAGGCCTGTATAAGAAAGATGGGTTACACCTAAACTGCAGGGGCACTAATACCTTTGCAGGGAGGTTTACCAGTGCCACTCAAGAGGGTTTAAACTAGTGTGGCAGGGGATGGGAACCAGAGAAGTAGGTCAGTGTTTCAAAAGGGAGGGACTAAATCAAGTAAGTTTAGGAGGAACAAGAGGTAGGGCCAGGTAAATGACACACGCCAGGACTAACGGTCTGAAGTGTATTTAATTTAATGCAAGGAGTATAACAGACTGTTTCCTCCCCACTGTTTGGAGGTTTATAATAAATAACCCAAATGTTCACTGCTCCCTTCCTGTTTCTCACCTCCAACCATATCGATTCTAATTTGGAACTGTATCTCGTTAAAGGACAATAATACCATTTTTGACCAAGACTGTTTCACCTCCTTCCTTTTTACTAACCTTGGCCTTATAACCCGATATGTTAAGTATCCAGTCCTGTTCTGGCTTGAGTCATGTTACTGTGCCATATCTGCCCTAAGCAAATTCTCTTCCAGTCCGCCAGTTTTGATTGTGATATTCCGAGCATTTACATATGGACACTTTAACCCTGCCCTTCATCTTTATGGGACCTCTTAAAACATGATGTGCTGAGGAAAGTATGTTACTCTTTGGAACCAAATGGTTTATTATTGAACCAGACAATGAAATGTCTGGGACTGTAGTACATACAATAGATGTTTATTCAATCTTTCAATACCATGTTACCCACATCTAGTACAACAATTCACAGAATCCCCACAGTGTGGAAGCAGGCCATTTGACGCATTGAGTCCATACCACCCCTCCAAAGAGCATCCCACCCAGACTAAACCAGCTCTACTCTCCCTGCAACCCTACATTTCCCATGGCTAATCCACCAAACCTGCACATCTTTGGACTGTGGGAGGAAACTGGAGCACCTGGAGGAAACCCACACAGACACAGGGAGAATGTGCAAACTCCATACAGACGGTCACCCAAGGCTGGAATTGAACCCAGGTCCCTGACACTGTGAGGCAGCAGTGCTAACCACTGAGCCACCATACTGCCTTACTATTCTGTGGTCTAAGCCCATAGTATGATGGCAGATGAAATACTTATCCTTCAACTACCATCAACGGAGAAGCAAATGGTCTGACTGTTTGTGACTTCTGCCCAAGGTGACTATTATGCTTATCCCTTAAACAAGCAGTAGGCAGTTAGATTCTACTTTTATTAATTCAAAAGCCAGACAAATAAAGAGATTTGCGTTTGTTTATTACATTTCAAAACCTCGGAATTCTTAAAACTCTTTGATGCCAATAAAGTACTTCCAGAGTGTGTCCCTGTTATAATGTTGGAATTGATGTGTCTGTTCTTGTGCACAGCAAACTCCCCACAGGCAGGAATGTAATAATGACGAGGTCATCAGGTGAATATTCCATGGATCTTGAATAGTGGTGACAGAGTCTTTAAAATTCACCAGAGAGCGCAGCAGAGACCTTAGTTTGACATCGGGTTTGAAAGGCTGCACCTCTGGCGGTGCAGCACTCCTTCAGCATCGTACTGAAAGGTCCACAAAGGACCTGTACTTAAGTGTTTTGTTTGATGCTTGAATTCTTAATCTGCAGGCTGTGAGTTTGTGAATGTTTTTACTGTGGTATTTTGTTGGGCTTCAGTGGTTCCAGATTAACTCCCCAGCCAAATTTAATAGTGTATAAATTTCATAGCATGTTTGTTCCTGACTGAAATACTTTGACGAGCGAGTACTCCTACTAGACCTATTTAAGGATCATGGCGACAGTAAGACTAGTCTCAGCTCATGTAAGACAAGGTTTCTATTGCATGGTGATGCTAACAGCTCATGTTTACAAGATTACAAAAACAACAAAGTCACTCTGTGCAATTGCACACCAGATGATTCAGTGCAGACACTGGAAATAAGCTCAAATCTCTCCTGGTTAGACCCTGAAAAAGCTGGAGAGATAAAAAGCTGAGCATCTAATGATTGCTATTGCGTCAAGGTAGTAGAACATTATACCTCAGAGAAATGCAGACTAGTTTTCACTTGTAGGATTTCACTTTTCTCGGATGCTAAGGGGATAGATGGAACGGATTTGGCATGATTAGACTTAGTCTTTGAGAATCAAAACCATTAACTGGAAAATCTCTAATACTGGAGCCTTCATTTGCACTGACAAATCTTCCTGTGTTGAGTGACTACAGGTGGGCAGACCTAATGTTTTCTTTAACCAGTTTCGATAATCTCCTTACCAAATCCATTTTTATCTCTTATTCACCTGATTTCCCTTGTTCAAAAAGTAGCTGACTAAAACAGGGGAAATAATGCCCGACATTGTCTGGAACAGAATGATTAATCCCATGCAGATCAAACCAGAATTTCAGTCAATATTTAAAGCAACTCAACAACCCTAACAACAAACAGGCTCCATTAGATTTCTGTAAAAATAAAGGGAGCTGTAAAGACGTGAGTCACATATCCATTTGCACAACCAATGATGGCCGTCTGCTTCTGACATCACAAGAACACAAGAAAAAAAGTGAAGAAGACCATTTGCCTATTGAACTTGTTCTGCCCCTCAACATGATCATGGCAGATCCAGGGCTCCAACTCTACTTTCCTGCTCATCACCCAAATCCCACGAAAAGCTAAAATTTCTCCATCCCACCCTTTAATATATTCAATGATGGAGTATCCACGACCCTCTGGGATAGAGAATTCCAAGATTCACAACCATGGAGTAATTTCTCCTCATGTCATTGCTAAATGATTAGCCCCACTGTGTCTTATTTCCCAGAGCAGTGGAAAAAATCTTTTACTATCTGCCCTGTTGAGCAGCTTTGGTGTTTTATACGTCGCAACAGGATTGTCTTTTGTTACTCTAAAGTATTGGCCCAAATTACATTGCCTCTCACCCTAGGCAGCTCCTTCATCCCACTCAACGTTCCCTTCCTTGGTTTTGTGGAGAGTTACTGTGTGTTGCTCATTATAAAACAGGCATTAAATAATGTTGTAACTCAAAGAACTTTACCAAGTCAAGGTTCTGAAGACAAATACTGATTCCAAGATATTCCCCCTCTCCAC